AATTGTGTACCAGTTTAACGTTGAATATTATTTATGATTTTAACCAATCAACAACTTGGATTCCTTTTTTAGTGTATTTTCTTTACTAAAAAGACACGCGTGTGCTCTAGGAACGTTAGGAACCAACAAACCTAATGAGGTAAGCAGTATTTTCATAAATCTCGTTATTGACGAGAACTTAGCCGACATCTTGTTTAAAGAACCGGCATGGCCAGGTGGTTAGGGCGTTTGACTCGCAATCTGAGGGACTCGCTGGTTCGAATCCCCGTCCCATCAAACATGTCCGCTCTTTCAGTCGTGGGAGCGTTATAATGTAACGGTCAATCTTACTATTCGTTGGTAAAAGAGTAGCTCAAGAGTCGACGACGGGTGCTGTTGACTATCCGTCTTCCCTCAAAACCAGCGAGGGTTAAGCCTTTTGTGTAGCTTTACACGAAATTCTAAAATCAAAGGATCATCTTAAATTTGTCTGGATTCATCTTCCTAAATTATAAAGCAACCATCAATAGATGAAGAAGACAATGTTTCCGCCTATCCAACAATAAGAAGCTTTATCTTTGTGAAATAACTAAAATATACCATACATCACACGAGTCTCTAGAGCTATTCTGTGGCTAAGCCTAAATCTTTGTGTCAGTAAAGCGTAGGGCAACATCTTGTAATATTGACTTTATCACAATGAGTTTCGGGCCTGGCTCAGAGATACAAAGAAAAGGAGTGGGCAGAAAGGGTCGTTAAACTCTGTCATGTCTTAAATCCGTCATTTTATTTGACATAACGAAACTGCTCCGGGGATAATAGCAACCTTTTGTATGTCTTCCTGCCGTCATGGTAACACCAGGAAATTTATCAATGAAATCTCTTGAAGGATTTCGATAATATTTTATTCTCCCTATCACCAGGTCACAAAGGGCGTTCTATTTGTTTGGGTCCGGCATGGCCAGGTGGTTAAGGCACTCGATTCGCAATCTGTGGGTCGCGGGTTCGAATCCCCGTCGCACCAAACATGCTCGCCCTTTCAGCCGTGGGGGGCGTTATAACGTGACGGTCAATCCCACTATTCGTTGGTAAAAGAGTAGCCCAAGAGTTGGCGGTGGGTGATGATGACTAGCTGCCTTCCCTCTAGTCATGCACTGCTAAATTAGGGACGGCTAGCGCGAAATTCAAAAACAAACAAACAAACTATTTGTTTGTTTAGAACAAAGCCACATTGCGCTGTCTGTTGTATCCACCGCGTGGAGAATCGAACCCTGTATTTTAGCGTTGTAAGTTCGTAACTTACCACTATCCAACCGGGGAGACGGGGTGATGTATTACATAACCCTCCAAGTTCCATTTTTTTCACGATATGACCAGTCGTTTAAAACGGTCCACCTGCCAAGTCTCCTTTACATTGGTTTATGTTCTATACTTACGTCAGAACAGGAACTGACGACATTACCGGAACTGACGTACCAGATTTGCTAAATCTCAAAATTTGGTATCAAAGGAGAACATTTTAAGCATAATAATTTTATTTGTATTCGGTTTATTCATGTGTAAACATACTGTAACAAATTGTGTGTTAAGTTTTGGGTTTATTCGTTTCTAAACATGCTATAACAAGCTGTGTGTGTGTTAAGTTTTGGATTTACTCATGTGTAAACATGCTATCAAACGTGTGTGTGCTAGGTTTGGGATTTATTCGTGTGTAAACATGTTGGTTTGTAAAAGCGTCAGGACGAGTTCACGAACTATCTAAGTTTCACAGTATCGTCATAACTTTAAAGGGTTTATTTTAAGTGTTTATATAGCCAATTTCACTTTTCATTTATTGTTTAATATTAACGCCAGAATAAGAATTAATTTGTGACCTTATTTCCGATGTCCCACAAAGACAATTTTTGTTTTGAAAGTCCTCACTTGAGTGTGGCCTTATTTTGTATCTTTCTTTACTAGCCTGGAGTCTAATGACTACAGATGAAGAAGAAAATAACACAATCTCCAAGTCTCCTAGCATCTCTCCAGTTTCCAGCCGACCTCCCATGTCTTCGGCTAGTACCCTTTCCTCTCAACCTTCGGGGAGTAAACAGAGGTAAGTGACGTAACTGGATGAAGGTGTTCTGGTTGGTAGGTTGAAGACACACGTGTGGACTGTAAACACGAGACATGCATGCTAATATCCAAACACGGCCACACGTGTGGACTGTAAACACGAGACATGCATGTTGATATCCAAACACAGCCACACGTGTGGACTGTAAACACGAGACATGCATGCTAATATCCAAACACGGCCACACGTGTAGACTATAACACGAGACATCCATGTTGATATCCAAACACAGCCACACGTGTAGACTATAACACGAGACATCCATGTTGATATCCAAACACAGCCACATGTGTAGACTATAACACGAGACATCCATGTTGATATCCAAACACAGCCACACGTGTAGACCATAACACGAGATATCCATGTTGATATCATGATAAATAACAAATAAGTGGGAAAGAATTACGTCATTCGACTAAACGTTGACTTTTGGGTGTGTTTTTTTTTTGTTTTTGTATACAGCAATTTATATGCATTTCTGTATAATTTCAGAAGGTTTGTATGTGTGTTTGTGAGTGTAGTTAAGGTGTGATGGAGGAAAACGTCATTCCCCTGGTTCAAAGACAGAAAAAGAAAGCCGTAACTTTGGCCCAAAACTGGCTCAGCGGTAAGTGTGTGTGTGTGTGGGCTTTCGATGCTTAGAATCGGCTTTCGATACCCGCAGTGGGCGAAGTACACATATCTCTCCGCATTGCTTTGGACTTAACAACAATGAAACAGTAACGATGACCGTTAAATCCTTATTTGTGGGAACTTGCTTCGGTTAGTAGATTTCAAAAGTTTTCACTGTCAACTTTCTACAACTCTAGTGTTGTGTGTTTATTTTTGATTATGTTACGAAAAGTGAATTTGACAGTTTAATTTATTATTTTTTAGCTTGCTAAGAATAAGTGTTTAAATAAAGTTGAGATATAATCTACTATTATTTTTAGCGCTTGATGAATGTAGAGTCGTGTTCTACTGTAAAACAATAAACCTAAGCACGTTTCTTTTTTCCCAAAATTATTTAATGTTCGTATAAGTATAAAAGGTCAGTGTCTGTGTTGATTATGAGATGATTACTTTGTCGTTTTTCCTTAATGTGTGGCCCTTGTAGGAGTTTACGAAATATATCTCCTGAGTGTAATTTATTCCTAAGGCCTATGGGTTAGTGTGCTGAACTGTAAGTCTGAAAGTTTATGGTTGGGGCTGTGTGTGCGTTATAAGAGTTAACGGTCAAAACCCAATATTTCATTAGAGTAGCCCAAGAATTGGCGGTGGGTGTTGTTGACTAGCTGCCTTCCCTCTTTTTTTCAGTTCACAATTTGGAACGGCTAATGCAGACAGCCCTTGTGTCGCTTTGTGTCAATATCTGAAACAAAAAACATTCTACTCATCCTCAGTAAACACTTTTGTTGTGTAACGTTTTACTACTTGAGGTGCAGGATATTAGTTACCTATTAGACTAAAGGAATCAGAATTATTCTAAAATAGTGAGCTAGAAAATTGCTTAAAATTACCGTATTGACTCGATTATAAGGCGATGTTTTTTATTATTAATAATTAGACTGTAAAATTCATAGTCGCCTTATAATCGCGGCCAACCACAGGCCCTTGTTGCATTTCCGAATATTCGGATAATATCCGTCTACGCATGCGCGCCAGATGTTCGCTCAAGCTCATCGCTAATTCTTGCAACTAATCTACCTGCACGCTGTTCAGTTATGGTATTGATTTTGCGAATTTTAAAAAGGACGCTATGACACTCAATTGTTTTCTTTCCAGTAGTTTCTGAAAATGGGGTCGCCTTATATTCGAAATCGCCCTATAATCGGGACGATACGGTATATAGATTGCAGTTTTTATAGAATTTGATACACAGTGGTGCCAGGTAGGATAGGATTTGGCATATGGTGGTGCCAGGTAGGATAGGTATGGCACCACACCTGTCTTTATCATCATGATGACAGTGATGTGATGATGATGATGTGAAACCAAAACTTTGGAAAATGAAATATTTGCTTTTCACTTATCTGTAGCAAAAAAAAAGAGTTGTTATTTAAATTCAATACAGTGTAGAAACTATTTTTGTTTAGGAATTTCTCTCAAAGCGACACAAGGGCTATATGCAAGTAGCCACTCCTAAAATTCATAGACTAGAGGGAAGGCAACTAGTTAACTACATCCACCACCAACTCTTGGGCTGCCCTTTTTTTTAATCGAATAATGTGATTTGACCGCCATTTTTTAGCTCTATAGTACGGAACGACACACGAAACCTTAGATTTTCAGTACGGGGATGATGGTCATTAATCCTCACCCGGCTCGGATTTTGGTAAATAATGATACTGATTTCTGTGGACAGCTTTTTAAAATTCACAATACAGCGATAAGAGAGTAAGCATTATTTGTTGATGTTTTATTATAGCTGTAAAATTAATATTGGACATTATTTCTCACTATAACATAGACAATATCATAATTAATGTCATCTCAATTTTCAATTAAGGTAATATTGTCAATGAAAGATGTTTTATTACCAGATTTCAATGTGTTTAGACAGTTCTCGGTATGTTAGTTATTTATAGTATAGCATCACTGAGTCATTATTCACTATTATCACACTAGACGTAAGCCTAATGAAACCTAAGGATCTTCAATAGTGAAACACATAAAGATATAAGCCTAATGTGACATGCTGTAACCTAACGGTCTCCAATAATGAACCACTGTTTTTGTGTTATCAAACTAGACCTAAGCCAAATGAGACATGCTGTAACCTAACGGTCTCCAATAATGAACCACTGTTTCTGTGTTATCACACTAGACCTAAGCCTAATGTGACATGCTGTAACCAAACGGTCTCCAATAATTAACCACTGTTTCTGTGTTATCACACTAGAACTAAGCCTAATATAACCTGCTGGAACCTAAGTATCTCCAGTCGTAAACCACTAGTTTAAGCCCTTATTTGTACATATTTAGACACGAATGGTAAATTCTACGATACAATTTTAGCCAATTACATTTATCTGTAACAACTAAGCTTCATTAATTTATAAACGTTCCAGTGTTTTATTATTATTATTATTATTATTTAGAGGGGAGCAGTCCCGGACTGGTTTAGCCAAACTGGCTAGATTCCTGTCTCCTAGGGAACGACTTTCGGCATCCAAGACAAGCCAGTTTTTCAGTGAGCTGTCTCCATCTGAAGTGTAAGAAATATAGCACATAACTGTGGAGTTATTTACTTAGCCACTTAGCTTGTTAGACAGATAGATGCTGTCTGAGTAAAAGTGTTTATAACGACAGATTTCAACTTATTGCTTACGTTATTCGCAACTGAAACTGAATGTTTTATGAAATCTTAAACCTAATATGTTGCAGCGTCATTAATTTTCAAACAAGTGCCTAAGCCTAATGTAACATGCTGGAACCTAAGGACCTTCAATAGCGAACTACTTGTTTTGTGTTGTCACACTTAAGGTAAGCCTAATGTAACATGCTGGAACCTAAGTAACTTCAATAGCGAACTACTTGTTTTGTGTTATCACACTTAAGGTAAGCCTAATGTAACATGCTGGAACCTAAGGACCTTCAATAGCGAACTACTTGTTTTGTGTTATCACACTTAAGGTAAGCCTAATGTAACATGCTGGAACCTAAGGAACTTCAATAGCGAACTACTTGTTTTGTGTTGTCACACTTAAGGTAAGCCTAATGTAACATGCTGGAACCTAAAGGAACTTCAATAGTGAACTACTTGTTTTGTGTTATCACACTTAAGGTAAGCCTAATGTAACATGCTGGAACCTAAGGACCTTCAATAGCGGACTACTTGTTTTGTGTTATCACACTTAAGCTAAGCCTAATGTAACATGCTGGAACCTTAGGATCTTCAATAGCGAACTACTTGTTTTGTGTTATCACACTTAAGCTAAGCCTAATGTAACATGGTGGAACCTAAGGATCTTCAATAGCGAACTACTTGTTTTGTGTTATCACACTTAAGCTAAGCCTAATGTAACATGGTGGAACCTAAGGATCTTCAATAGCGAACTACTTGTTTTGTGTT